ACCTTCTGACGGTGTCTGCCTCCGCGCACAAAAAATGAGATGGGCATCGCTGCCTACGCCGACGGCCAGAGGCCCGCGCATCTACATTTTTTCGCCTGACCCCACTTCAGTGCCGACCCAACTCCACCACCACACGCACGCCTCGCGGCGGATGCGCAGCAGCAAGAAGGTTTCGGTCATCCCTTGAGGGTGAGTCTAGCCCTGCTCGCCAGAAAGACCCCCCCCTTCACTACAACCCATGTCTAAGCAAAAGCTTGTCGAGGAGCGAGGGGAAGAAGGNTGATGGTGTCTGCCTTCGCGCACAAAAATGAGATGGGCATCACTGCCTACGCCGAAGGCCAGAAAGGCCCGCGCATCTACATTTTCCCGCCTGACCACTTCAGTGCCGACCCAACTCCACCACCACACGCACGCCTCGCGGCGGATGCGCAGCAGCAAGAAGGTTTCGGTCATCCCTTGAGGGTGAGTCTAGCCCTGCTCGCCAGAAGGACCCTCCCCCTTCGCTACAACCCATGTCTAAGCAAAAGCTTGTCGAGGAGCGAGGGGAAGAAGGGAGAGGGGTGTGCGGAGATCAAAAACGAAAGAAAGTACGCAGCGGCGGAGGTAGAGTATCATGTACCCGAAAAAAGCAAATTAGTTGTGGAGTGTATGAAGGGAAAGTTCTTTTTATAATATGCATAGCTGTTTTCATTTTCCTTTTTGCTTGTTGCATGTTTTTGCATCTCCCGCTGCCGCGGTGCTCTCTTTGCCTCACGAGGGAGACCTTTTGCATGAAAATATTTCAAATATTCAATCAATCCTGCGCCTTGGGCTTTGCACTTTGCATGTTCACAGCAGTGGGTGGGGATAGAATTTGACGCAAAGTCGAATCCCGATTCATACGTTGAGTTTTTAGAGTAATAATGTGTGAGATTCTACAAAGCTGCAAAAATGGCCCCACCCTGTGATGTGGTCGAACCACATGGGGGGCTAACCCGCTCGTCAAGCACAACCGAAACGCAAACGTGGCCCTTGTGTTTACTCACACGGTTTTTGTGCGTTTGAGATTCGACAACAAATGCACACTCATTTCGTCCGTGGACCTGTGTTCTACTAGGAACTCGGATCATAATTCCTGATGATGAAAATGGCACCCCCCTAAGTCCCATCTGGGCGGCCTCTATGTCTCCCGGACTAAATACCCCTCATTCTATCTGCTGTGGAAAGCGATAAGTTCATGTGTATGGAACAAGTCGACTTCATGGTCGACGAGGGAAAACCATGGTAGAGTCCTTCTCGCGAAGAGTCAATCGAGGCAGGCACCGCCGAGCGAAGGCGGAGAATGGTGGACCAGAGTCATGTGCCTTCAGCTGATCCCCCAGGCCTCCGCGGGGGGAGGCCGTGCCCCAAGACTCCATAAGGAGGGTAGAATGGGTGACACGAGAGGAGCACTTTATGTTCGGAGGTCAACAGAGGCCCCAGATGGGGCAAGTAGTACAATATACAGTTCCCAACCTCAAGCAGAGCCCGGTCTACAGAGTATAACGTGTGGCCTTCTTCTGTATGACCCCGGCTGGTGCGTCCAGAATTGTATCGATTGTACCAAAAGGTGTAGGGCCGGCATCCGGAAGGTTCGGAATGATACAACTCAAATATTATCTACATGTACCTCTCTCGGGTTTGGTGGCTCGGCCTCCCTCTTTACGCCGTCGGGCAGGCCGCGCCTGCGGGATCACCTGAAAGTCCATGACAGTATACTACTAAAAATATATTTTAGAGCAATTTTCTTTGGTCGCACTGTCCATTTCCTCTTTTTGCGGTTTGAGTAATCGAGACTCCAGACGCCACCGCCGTGTAGACACGCCTGAAATTAGGTGGGGCCCAGGACCAGAATGCTCCCCCCCTGTGACCTCGGGGGCGTATTTATTCGATTCACCTACTTGGTGATAGTAAACGTGCGTTATTTCGCACAAGTCTCTCTCTCTCCATCTGTCTCTCTCCACTACCCACGTGCCAAACCCCAATCTACCATATGTTAGACATGATATCTAAGGGCGGCTTCCCACCGTGAATACTACTGCCCTAGATGTGAAGCGTCTAAAATGCCCCCAAAGCGTATTACTCCCGGAGTAGACCATAATCAGCTAGATCTCAGATATTCGGCAGCTAGTCATACCCAAGTAGAACGACAACGGTGGGCGTGAATTATAAACACCGATACACAGCAATATTTTGCGGACTAATGCCACGCCAGTTCATTTGTCAGTGCAAGTGTTCAACAAAACGCAAGTGACGGACAACCACACACTATTGGCTGATGCCGCACGCTCGCAAAAGAAGTAATGTACGCAGTGGATAGACGACCTACGCACTGCTACGAAATGAGCAGGTTTTCCACACGCAGGGAAAACGATGAACGAAACAAGAAACCCCCCAAAAATGCTGAAAACTGTTACGAGCGCTTTCAGCAGTGAAGTGAAAAACAATTCCTCAGAAATGTATTCATGATTGCAACGATGGGCATGATCGTTGAGCGAGCCATTGTCACGAAATTCAAAACGTACGCAGCGCGCGAAGACAAAAAAGCATGATACAACGATGGGCATGGTCGTCGAACAAGCCATTGCTTCGAAATTCAAAACGTCCGCAGCTCGCGAAAAAATTCCAACCACACGATGCCA